AAGGAGCAAGCCGTTCGAAAGAGACTAGAGAATAGAGAATTTCAGAAGACGGAGCAAACCGCTCGAAAGAGACCAGAGAATGTCGAAAGAGACTTCAGACCTTGAAAACGAGGCGCAAAGCGCTCGGAAGCAACTACAGAACTTCAGAAACAGGAGCAAACCGCTCGAAAGAGACTAGAGAATTTCGACAGAGACTGGAGATTGTAGAAAACAAGTAGCAAAACGCTCCAAAGAAGTTAGACACTTGGAAAACAAGGAGCAAACCGCTCGACAAGAGACCCGCAGATTTCGAAGCAGACTCGAGAGTTTGAACAAGGGAGCAAACCGCTCGACCGCAAGTAGAGAATGTCAGAAGAAGGAGCAAACCGCTCGAAAGAGACTAGAGAATTTTCGAAAAAACTAGAGAGCAAGCCGGTCGAAAGCGTGAGAGAATTTCGACAGATACTAGAGAACTTGAAAACGAGGAGCAAGCCGCTCGAAAGGAATTCGAGACTTTCAGAACAAGGAGCAAACCGCACGAAAGAGACTGGATAATGTCGAGAAAGACTAGAGAACTTGAAAACAAGGAGCAGACCGCTCGAAAGGAATTAGCGAATTTCAGAAGAACGATCGAACAACTCGACAGAGACGAGAGCATTCGACAACAAGGAACCAACCGATTGAAAGAGAGTAGAGAATTTCGAAAAAGAGATTCGAGAACTTGAAAACAATGAGCAAACCGCTTGAAGGGAACCAGAGAATTTCAGAGCAAGGAGAAACCGGCTCGGAAGAGACTAGAGAATTTCAAAGAGATTAAAGAACTTGGAAACAAGGAGTAAACCGCTCGAAAGCAACTGGAGAATTTCAGAACTGGGAGCAAAGCTTTCGCAAGAGATTAGGGAATTTTGAAAGAGACTAGAGAACTTGATAACAAACAGCAAACCGCTTGAACTCGAAAGAGACTAGAGAACTTCGATAGAGACTAGAGATTTCCAAAGCAAGGAGCAAAGGACACGAAAGAGACGATTGAATGTCGAACGAGAGTACAGAATGTAAAACAGGGAGCAAACCGCTCAAAAGGAGCTAGAGAATTTCAGAACAGGGAGCAAACCGCTCGAAAGAGAGCAGAGAACGTCGGAAGAAACTAGAGAAATTGGAGCCCAGGAGCAAACCGCTCGAAAGCAACTAGAGAATTTCGAGCGAGACTACAGATTTGAAAACAGGGAGCGAGCCGCTCGAAAGGAACCAGAGAATTTCAAAAGTAGAAGCAAGCCGCCCGAAACAGAGTAGATAATTTCGAAAGAAACTAGAGAACTTGAAAACAAGGAGCATGCCGCTCGAAAAGAACTAGAGAATTTCAGAAGATGGAGCAAACCCCTGGAAAGACAGTTGAAAATTTCAAAAGAGACTAGAGCCTGTGAAACCAAGGAGCAAGCCGCTCGAAGGGGACTAGAGAATTTCAGAACAAGGAGCAAACCGCTCGAAAGGGACCAGAGATTTTCGAACCAGACTCGAGGAATTGAAAACAAACGGCAAACCGCTTGAACGGAGCTAGAGAATGTCAAAACAAGGAGCAGAAACGCTCGAAAAGAATTAGAGAACTTCGACAGAGACTATAGAAATTTTCAGAAGAAGGAGCAAACCGTTCGAAAGAGACTAGAGAATCTAAAAACACAGAGCAACGGCCGGAGAGGGACCAGAGAACTTCGGGACCAGGAGCAAACCGCTCGAAAGAGACTAGAGAACGTAGAAAGAGAGCAGAGAATGTCAAAACAAGGAGCAAACGGCGTGGGTCGGACCAGAGAATTTCAGAACAAGTTGCAAACCGCTCAAAAGAGACTAGATAATTTCGAAAGAGACGCGCCGCTCGAAAAAAAATAAAGAATTCCAGAAGATGGAGCGAACACTTCGAAAGACAGTAGAGAATTTCGAAAGAGATTAGAGGCTGTGAAACCAAGGAACAAGCCGCTCGAAAGGAACCAAAGAATTTCAGAACAAGGAGCAAGCCGCTCGAAAAAAACCAGGGTACCTCGAAAAAGACTAGAGACTTTGAAAACAAGGAGCAAGCCGTCCGAAAGAAACTAGAGTATTTCAGAAGAAGGAGCAAACCGCTCGAAAGCGACTAGAAAATTTCGACCGAGGCTAGAGAAGTAGAAATAGAAGGAGCAAACACGTTAGAAATTCCGAACACAAGGAGCAAACCGCGGTACAGAAACTCGAAGATTCCGAAAACGACTAGAGAATTTGTGCCAACTAGAGAATGTCACAAGAAGGAGAAAGCCGCTTGGAAGAGACTAGAGAAATTGAAAACAAGGAGCACACCGGTTGAAAGGAGATAGAGATGTTCAGAAGGAGCAAACTGCTCGACAGAGACTAGAACATTTCAAAACAGGGCGCAAACGGCCCGCAAGGAACTGGAGAATTTGAGGAAAAGGAGCAAACCGCTCGAAAGAGACTAGAGACGTTCGAAAAAGACTAGAGAGCAAACCGCTCGAAAACGAGTAGAGAATTTCGATAGAGACTAGAGACTCTCAAAACAAGGAGCAAACCGCTCGGAGGGAACTCGAGAATTTCAGAACAAGGAGCGAACCGCTCGAAAAAGAGTGGATGATTTCGAAAAAGACTAGGGAACTTGAAAACAAGGAGCAAACCGCTTGCAAGGAACTAGAGAATTTCGGAACAAGGCGCAAGCCGCTCGAAAGAGAGCAGAGAACGTCGAAAGAGACGAGAGAAATTGAAACCCAGGAGCAAACCGCTCGAAAGGAACTAGAGAATTTCGAGAGAGCCTACAGATTTGAAAACAGGGCGCAAGCCGCTCGACAAGAACTAGAGAATTTCAGAAGATGGAGCAAACCCCTGGAAAGACAGTAGAGAATTTCGATTGGGAGTAGAGTCTGTGAAACCAAGGAGCAAGCCGCTCGAAAGGAACTAGAGAATTTCAGAGTAAGGAGCAAACCGCTCGAAAGGGGCCAGAGGTTTCGAACCAGACCCGAGGAATTGAAAACAAACGGCAAACCGCTTGAACGGAGCTAGAGAATGTCAAAACAAGGAGCAGGAACTCTCGAAAAGAACTAGAGGTCTTCGACAGAGACTACAGAATATGAAGACAAGGAGCAAGCGGCCCGACAGGGACTAGAGAACTTCAGGACAAGGAGCAAACCGCTCGAGCGAAACTAGGAGATTTCGAGAAAGATTACAAAAGTTGAACACAGGGAGCAAATCGCTCGAAAGAGACCAGAGTTTTTCGAAAGACTCGAGGAACTGAAAACAAACAACAAACCGCTTGAACGGAGCTAGAGAATTTCAAAACAAGGAGCAAACCGCTCGAAAGGAACTAGAGAACTTCGACAGAAACTAAAGAAGATGAAGACAAGGAGCAAACGGCCCGAGAGGGACCAGAGAACCCCAGGACAAGGAGCAAACCGCTCGGAAGAGACTAGAACAGTTGAAAACAGGGAGCAAACCGCTCGAAACGAGCTAGAGAATTTCAGAAGAAGGAGCAAACCGCTCGAAAGACACTGGAGAGTTCCGAAAAAGACTAGAAAACTTGAGCATAAGGAGCAAACTGCTGGCAAGGAACTATAGAGCCTCCCCACCAGGAGCAAACCGCTCGACAGACACTAGAGAATTTCGAGCGAGACCACAGATTGAAAACAGGAAGCAAGCCGCTCGAAAGGAATTAGAGAATTTCAGAACAAGGAGCAAACCGCTCGAATGAAAGCAAGGAACGTCGGAATAAACTAGAGAAGAAAACAAACAGCAAACCGCTTGAACGGATCCAGAGAATTTCAGAAGAAGGGGCACACCGCTCGAAAGAGAGCAGAGAACGTCGAAAGAGACCACAGATATTGAAACCCAGGAGCAAGCCGCTCGAAATAAAGTAGGGGATCTCGAGTGAGACTACAGATTTGAAAACGGGGACCAAGCCGCTCGAAAGGAACTAGAGAATTTCAGAAGAAGGAGCAAACCAATCGAAACAAACCAGAAAATTTCGAGAAAGACTAAAACAATCAAGCGAGAAACCACATGACTAGAAAAATTGACATCAAGGAGCTAACCGCTCCAAAGAGACATCGAAATATCGAAAACAAGGAGCAAACCGCTCGGAAGGAGCCAGAAAATTTCAGAAAACGGGGCAAACCGCTCCAAAGGAACAAGAGAATCTCGAGAAAAAGACTAGAAAAAATGAAATCAGGGAGCAAGCCGGTCGAAAGGAACTAGAGAACTTCAGAAGAAGGGGCAAACCGCTCGAAAAAAACAGAGAACGTCGAACGAGACTGAAGAAATGGAAACCGCTCGAAAGGAAGTAGAGAACTTCAGAAGACGGAGAAAACTGCTCGAAACATACGAGAGTGGTTTTACAGAGGCTAGAGATTTTGAAGGAGCAAACCGTTCGAAAGGAACTAGAGAATTGCAACTAGAGAATTTCGAGAAGGAACTAGAGAATTGCAACTAGAGACTTTCGAAAGAGACTAGAGTTTTGAAAACAAGCAGCAAGCCGCTCGAAAGGAATCAGCGAACTTCAGAAGAAGGATCAGTTTGAAAAAGATCAGAGCGTTTCGAAATAGATTTGAGAATATGAACAACAAGGAGCACACCGCTCGAAAAGAAATCGAGAATTTCAGAAGAAGGGGCAGACCGCTCCGAAGGAACTGAAGAATCTCGAAAAAAGACTAGAAAAAATGAAAACAAGGAGCAAGCCGCTCGAAAGGAACTCGAGAATTGCAGAAGAACGGGCAAACCGTTCGAAAGAGACTAGATAATTTCCAAAAGGAGACTAGAGACTCAAGAGATTGAAAACAAGCAGCAAACCGCTCGAAAGGAATTAGAGACTTTGAGAAGAAGGAGCAAATCGTTTGAAAGAAACTAGAGGAAATTGAAAGATACTAGAAAACTTGAAAACAGCGGGAAACTGAGCATGAGGAGCCTTTCGGGGTGTGAAAAAGCCCCGCCCGTTGTTAATACGGTTCGCATTTAAGGGAAGCTGTACGGGATCCCAAAGCAGTTCTTGGCAAGAAGAGGCCATGGAACGGACCTTTCCCATCATCGGCTAGCAGGCCGGAAGTCACTGTCATTTTGGCGCCAACCCTACGTAAACCTTAAACCCCGAAAGCCAAAACCCTGAACTCTAAAATGCACACCCGCAAACCCCAAACTCTAAACCCTTGACCCCCACACCCTACTTAGGGGTTCAGTCAGTCTCTGATGGTGCTACCCTGAAGGCCAAAAACCTAACTCCTCAGCCCTGAGCCCTTGAACTCAAACCCCGCAAGGTTTCAGCTTCCGGGTTCTGAGCATGGCCACGTAGAAGGAGATTCGTCTGCAACGACCACCGCGCTGCTGCTCTTAACGTTGATGTATTTTTTACATTGGTTCTACACGGCAGGTTCTACTGCAACCGCCGCTGCTTCGACGCTTGTGACCTCATAGATCTGCACCTCACAAGTCTAGCAACCCAGCCATCACCCTGAAGATTTAACACTGGACCCCAGATCCGCTCAGCCTCTAGACTCTAGACTCGGGTTTAAGCTATGGCTTAATTAGGGTCTCACCCAAGCTGATATCGCCATGGCGAAGCATCTGTTGCTGTTGTGCCTCGGGCTCTTCATTCGACTCCTCTGGCGCAGCGCGTCCTCATTGAGTCGACTGCTGCCTGTCACCTCCAGCTGTTCGGGTGTCCGGGCTGTCCTAGGGTAAACGAAACTGGAAGTTCTGTCCCATTTCGGGTCTATGATTGCATATGAGCCTTCTGCTTCGGGTTTATGATGGGTTTTGGAATTCGGGCCTGGGAGTTTACGGTGCTCTTATCACGTCATGCGGCGCCTGAGTTCTTTTAGGTAGGCGGCAGTGCCCTTTCAGCTAAGGCTGTGTCGGGAAGCAAAAGTGTTGAATTGCTCTCTTTCGGCCCAGGTGTGCCTGCAGTGCTGCCACGATTCTTGGGACGCGGGTCTCCCACCACAACGAACACATCGGAGCCTCTAAGGCGGAATCGGACACGCTCACGAAGATCTCCGGTGCGCTATTGGAGGTCTTCTTGTCTTCCGGGACGGGACATTGGAGCCCACCTGGCTCAGCCCACGCCGGCGCCCCCAACTCAGAAGCATGAGACGCCCAAGACTCCACATGCTTCACAGCCGTCCATTCAGGATTCGGAGACTCACTCCGCTACGCATGCCAAAAGAAACACGCTGCAGCACTCCGGGACGCCACCCATTCAGCATTCCGAAGCTCATGCAACACAGCCCGCGCAGCGTTCCCAGACGCATGGCCGACACATCATTCTGAGACACTCTACGCAGCAGCACTCCGGGACTCACTCTTTGCAGCCACCGATTCAACGTTCCGAAGCTCATGCCGCACAGCCTGCTCAGCGTTCCCAGACGCATGCCACCCAGCCGACATATCATTCTCAGACACACTCTACGCACGGCACACAGACGACCCACTCCTCGCACCACTCGAGTCACTCGAGCTCGCATTCATCTGGACATGGCCACCGGTAGTACGGTAGCTTCATGAGCAGGCTGATTGTCTTGGCTCGCCGTCTGAGGGATCGAAGCCCTCAGCATGGGAACCGACGGTATGTTGGTTGGGCAGATTAGAATGTACTTCAAGTTCAAAGCATATTCTCAAAAAAACTGTTCATATCTACCCTAGACACAAAGCCCGGAACTCTTCTGTAGATAGCAAGTTTACGTGCGAAGCATGAATCCCACGGACTGCGCTCGATTTCGCACTTACCTGGTACGGCCTTGGGTAGTTGAAGCTCGAGTACAGTGGGCCGGTGACCGGTTGGCTGCACTCTGAAGGCCTGAATGAAATAAGTTTTTGAATTTTATAACCATATAAGTATATATGTATATGATATGATGTATGCATATATATATATATATATATATGTATGTATATATATATATACGGAATGACACACATATACATATATATATATATACACACACATACATACATACATACATACATACATACATACATACATACATACATTAAATGTTGCATGTACGTTCGGTTCAGGACGCCTGCTACTTAGTTAGTTCAGAAACATAGTCAACTAATACCGGTGTATGTTTGCAGTATCCAGTTGTATGCGCTTGCACGACGAGCCCCCCTGTCCGTCCATCCGTACTTTTGCTTTGGGCACTCATGTGCGTATGTATCAGTATATTCATCATGCATGTAAAAATATCCATGATGTTGAATGTGAACGTGGATGGAGGGATGCGTGGATGGATGGATGGATGGATGGATGGAAAGATGGAGGCAGGCAGGGAGCGAGGGAGGGATTGAGGGAGGGATGGAGGGACGGAGGGAAGGAGGGATGGATGCAAGGATGGAAAGATGGAAGGATGGAGAGATGGAAGGATGGAAGGATGGAAGGATGGGTTTCTGGATAGCTGGCTGGATGGCTAGATAGATGGATGGATGGATGTACCGGTAAGTAATTACTTTGACGACACCCAGCGAACAGGCAGCCAGGAATTGGACGGATACAAGACGTGTCACGAAACTCCAAAGAAAACCCACTCATGTGCTTGCTGTTTCGTTCAGTCTAATTTACGTACGTAAGCTTCGTTCAATCTGTAAGCATGCAAGTAGGCAGATAGGGCACGATCGGAGGAATGTAAGTAGGTTGGTTGGTTCTGTATGTTGGCATGCATATGTCCGCACAAGGCGGTGCATGTGTAGTTCTTCAGGACTTCGGAAAGCTTGAGCCGGTGGTACAGAGCTGTGCGCCGATTGCCGCCTGCTCACCAATTTTAAGCAGACCTTTCGTGACCGAAGCTGTTTGTAAAAGCTTGTTTTCGGAGGGCCCAGGGCGTCACAGTATCTGAAGTTTTATATCGGCTCGATGTGTGAACTCAGTTCAGCTTTGTGGGCTCTGTGGAGGTTTAGATTAGGGCTTTGCTGGTTCGTAGGGCTTTGTGCTTGCACTTGGGGCTTTGTGTGCCAGACACTCCAGCAGCTGGTTCATTCCGGAGGAGGTTGTAATTTTCATCCGTATTGACCTCATGACACTTTTGTGGTTTCCTTCAGACCGATGCATGGAGAAGGCTGTGATCGTTGCCAAAACGGGACCGGCCTGGGACTTCGAATCGAAGAAACACGAGACTTTAGGGCGCAGACTTTAGAGGGTTTCATAAAGCCTCCTGTTCGGTTTCGCTGGGTTTGGCCTTCGGGGTTGTGTTGTGCGCTCGGCATTTGCGGTGTCTCTCTGGATGCAGTAAACATTTACGGCATAGGGCCTCTCCGAGACCAGCAGCCAAGAACCTGCCATGGGCTAACATTAAACTCCCTCAACTCCCTCAACATAACCTAAACCCGTTTAAGCCGCCCTTTTAAACCCTGAAGCAGGCTTCCAACCTGGTCTCTGTGGCACACTGAGGGTCGCCGCAAGCTGATGAAGCGAGTTCTGCTTGCAGGTCACACTTTAGACTTCTTGGAAGCCTTGTGGAGTTATGGGGTTGATGATTCGCTGAGTTGGGCAGTGTAAGTCGAATCAGTTGTAAATATTGTTGTATAATAGGGTGCTTCTGATTCTATATAATTAGGTCTATCGAAGTTGTAGCCGGGAAGAAGCAAGCAGTGCCGAAGGCAGTGTCCATTCAAGGAAGGCTGCAGTCGTTCAGAGCACCGAGCCGCGGCGAGAAAACACTTGCGCCCCTTGACGCTCGAGTCTTGCTTCCATGGCTTTCGACCAGCCGGCTTCGCTAAGGGCTTTTGTTGGTTATCAGAAAAAAAACATGAGTCAGGGGCAGGGTTTTCAGGGGTTTCTGCGGGATTCCACGCGGCGTTCATAAGGATCGTCATGCGGGTTATTAAACCTAGAGATGCTTCGTTATTTCGTTGAGGGAACCGTGTACTGAGGATCCATGAAAATTGGGTCAGCTGTTTTCCCAAGCTCCCATGTACATAGCAAGACTCAAGCAGCTGACAAACCATGATTCGACCATGATATGACCACGGGATATGCCCTGTCCAGAGGCAGTGTTCTACAAGTGCCCATGGCAACCCACACGACCAGATGTACAGAAACAGCTCGAAAAATGGAGCATCGTTGTGATCCGAGCCCCTTTAACTAAACCATACACCCAACGCTAAGTCGTAACAATCGAAACCCTATTCCGCTAAACCCCTGTAAACCCCTGAGCCCTCAAAGCTGCAAGCCCTAAACCCTCTTCGCTGTTTCGAAGGATGTGGCAGACACTGTGGAGGAGATGTTGGAGCAACACGCGGAGGTTTGAATCTCTGCAGGGCCTTTGGGGCAGGGACCACTTTGTGTTTAGGTTTTAAAAGGTTTTTTGGGGGGGTATTTTGGGTGTTAGTTACGAGGGTTTAGGGTTCAGGGGTCCAGGGTCCAGAGGGGTTTAGGGTCTTTAGGGCGTGTGGGGGTGCAGGGTAAACCGTGATGTCCTGGGGTTTGGCGTTCCGGTATTCGGGATTTGAAAGACTGAGGAGTCTGCAGAGCCCCACTGGGGTTCGCCGAGGTTGCAGTAGGTTTAGTTCAGGGTTTGTTGCTTGGAATTGGAGCTTGGGGTTTGGTGATCGTCAATCCATCCTTCCCAACCGTTCGGGCCTTGGCATCTTGCTGTATCGGGCAGCCCAAGCCCTTCAATGCAGCCTCAGCACAGGCCCGGCCCCAGGCCCACATGGGCCCACGTGTTTCTGAGGTCTACAGTGACAGAGCTTTGGACGCTTTGACGTCTGGGGATGAACGGTGCTTGATTAAGTCGGCGCAGGTGTCACGCCGACTCTACGCCGACGGTCTGTGCAGGGGACCTGTGAGGGTTTGCTTCATGAGGGCGGAGTTGTCGGCCTCAGCATCTATGCTTGATGTACTATTGGGCCTACTAATGCAGCACTTCCTCCAACCATGGCAGACATTCAATCTCTGGAACCATGACAAGAGCTGGCATAAGCGTTGGGTGATTTGAGGTCGAGGTCTCATCATATCCCACAGACAGCTGCAGGCATCAACTTCCCATACAGGGCTCATGTCCGTGCATATACTAGTCGCATGCAGTAACTGTGCTATCAGTATTCTTATGATTGTTAATGTTGCTGTTGTCATAAATATTGTTTTTGATTAAGGTAGAGATACGAAGGCCTTCAGTAGGCAGTCCTGCAATGTCGTTTTCTTCGTAGTGCAGTGTGCAGAGCAACAGCATATAAAGTGCAGAAGCACTCAGCACTAAACTTGAAGAGTTCGATCGTCTCGAATGGAGCTGCAGGTCTCATGCGGCACTGGCACACTGTTCGCAAAGGCCGCGAGCATTTCCAAAAAAAGTTCGTGGCGCAGAGTTTGAAGTCCGTGCTGTGATTTTGTGCCCGACACTTCGGTGTTGGGCCCCGCTGTTGACCTTCGAAATGGAGAGGAAAGTCCTGATGATGTGGGATCCCTGCACCAAGCTGTGTAAGGGCAGATAACGATACTGTGCAATCTGAAATGCCGCAGATCCCAAAAAGCACTGCAATGGAGTTTCATGGGACTCCGTAAGTACAAGTAACAAGTAGGTACATAGACTCCCATAACAGTCTACCTCCCAACCTGCGGACAAAGTCTACCAGTCCTTCAAGTATCTTCCGGGACCAAGGCCCATGTTCACAAACACCCCAACACCAAGCCCCGAAGCCCAAACGGCGCAAGTCCTGGCTAGCTTGGACCCGAAACCTCCGTAGGCGCTCCGAGGGATGTATAACTACAGCTCAACAGCCAAGCAACTGGCCAAGAGAAGCCTGAGCCCAAGCACTCCCTGGACACTGGACATCAGGCCACGAGGTTGCCGAGGAGAGGTATGTGCAGGCCCACGCCGCCCACGTTCGGTGAAGATGTGCTTGAGGTTATGAAGCGGACGAGGACTGCGATCGACATGCCTACCAAGCTCATTGTACGGATGCTTTTATTTTGATACACACGATGACGATGATGATGATGATGGTGATGATGATGATGGTGATGGTGATGGTGATGGTCATGAGGATGAGGAAGACAAGGAGGACGAGGACGATGATGATGGTGATGGTGATGGTCGTCGGTGGCGAAGACGACAACGACGACAATGCCTGAGACTGGTCGGGAATGAGGTTGCTCTGATGTGCAGTCGCACCACCGGGGCGTCGAGAAGTTTCAGAGGGTGATATTCAGGATATTATGAGGGCATTTCGGGTTTGGGGTTTGGGTTCGCAGGGTCTTCGGGTTCCTGCTTTAGGGGTGTAGGGGCCTAGTAAGAAAAGGACTTTAGGACATGCTGGCACGAAAACGTCAGGCATGCCGTGCGGCAGAACTCGAGGCCGTGCAGCTGGGCACCGAGACGCGGCAAGATTTCGTGCGTGGGAAGATCAGATCTTGAGACCGACACCCTCCGTTTGGCCATTCTTACATCTAGGACCTTACTTGTCGTTTGTTTTGTTTGTCTGTTGGGGAGAGGGGTTCCAGGACCGTCCTCCATGGCAGAGTTGCCGTTGCTGGTTTTATCGGCTCTGAGCGGAAATCCGGTAAGCCGTTTTCCTTTCTCGGGAGGGTTTGGCAATCAGTAGCTAAGCAGCTAAGTATTAAGTTTATAACGTTTGTGTCCTGGTGTTTCAGTCTCAAAGAAACCCTCAAAGAACCTCTTCAGGACACTCTGAAGGAGCGCTTTGAAGGAACTCTTTAATTATTTGCAGGAGCCCTTTAAAGACCCCTTTTAAAGGAACTCAAGAAGGAACGCCTAGGGGTTCGAAGACCTGGCGGCTGAAGTTTTGGAGCTCAGGTGCGCCGCGCTCTCGGCGCTGAAGCCAGCTGAGTGGTGGCAAAGCGGCACTACTCTGCTGAGTGCTTTGGGATGTAGGAGTTTAGGCGTTTAGGGGTTCGGGGTATGACTTGAGGATCCTTCTCATGCGAGAGCCATGCTGTTTAATGTGCTAAGTTAGGGTTCGGGCTTCAGTCCTCGAGCATCTTGACGCTTTCGGGCCTCTACTTGCTATGGTTTCTCGGCCCTCCTCCGACTTCAGCACTTTCGGTGTCGGGGCTTCGAGGCTTTAAGGCCTAGCCATCCGGGTTTAGGGGTTGGGATTTCACGGTGTGGGCGTTGGGGATTTAAGGGGTTAAAGGGCGATTCTGGAGTCCGTCAAAGACTTACATCACCAAGGAAGCACTCGGCGGAGAAGACAATCCAGTCCTCCCGACAGGCCTGCCGGCAAGGTATGGGCGTTAGATGGTTTTACCATAGGCCTTCAAGTGTTTCATAAAGGGACTCAAATACATGTAGGTAGGCTTGATATGGCGTGCGTCTTTCGGTTGGTGTTTCGGGGATGCTAGTACTGAGAAAGCCCTATTTCACACAGCCCATATGGCTAGCCGATACCCCATGGGCAATGCCGCCATGCTGAAGCCCCAAAGGCATTTCCAGCTCCGGTGCTTCCAAAGGTTTTGAGTCACCCGTCTTCACGGTTCCAAGAACGCTGCAGGAGGTTTCTGTGACTGTCATGTTAGATTGTCTAAGGCTTCGCCCTGCAAAGTTTTCTTTTTGGGTTCTGAGATATTATGAGCAGAAAAAATTGTTGCGCACGAGGAGAGTTGTGTAGGTGATAGGAAATACGGCTTGTTTTGCAGTCGAATTCCTGAACACACGGGCCTAGCTTTATGGAGAGTGTCGCATACCCTCCCGTTGGGTGCAGCCGCCCATAACATGAGTCAACCCTGCTGTCCCAACGGCCCTCCTGAAACGCCAGTCTTTAATCGTCAAACTCTAAGCCTTAAGCTCAGAAATCGTGCCACTGGATCTGCTTGGCAAGTCAGGCGGTCGCTGCCGAGAAGGAGTTTCAAAAGGCGGGTCCAGGGCGGTTCTTGAACGTTGCCACCAACACGGCTGCTGCTTCTTTTAGTACTATTTGTACTTCTCCTGTCACTTCCACCACCACTACGACAACGATGACCGTGTCAAGTACCCACCACGACGAAGACGTAATGCCAACAAGTCTTGGGTCGGAGGTGTGCTGAAGCCGTCTAGGACTTGAGTTCGACCAGCATCAAGACACGGGCATTTCCATCCTGGGCTCCGAAGCCTCGAACCTACCGCAACCTAGTACTAACTCTAACAGTCACTTTCTTCTTCTTCTTCTTAAACCTCTGTCACACGAGTGTCATGCTAGAGGAGCAAGAGGCCGCGGCCGCAGCAGACTTGGCAAGTGAATACGATCGATATGAATATCTCTCCTTTCGGTCAGCCTATTGCTGCTGATACTAGACCGCTGCAAGCGCATCTCACGACTATTACGGCACCTAGAGCTTGCTGTCGTTGTCCTTGACAGACGCTGCACAAGTTCAACACATCTGTGGAGCTACAGGAGACAAGGTTTAAGGGGTAGGGGTTAGACTCAACTTTAGGGTGCAGAGCTTTAAACTCTTGGCTGCTTGCTTGACCGTGCCGTTGGATATTGCACGAGTTACTGTAGTTACACTTCAACGACGTGCTTGCATCTTCAGAAGAAGCCCTGAAGATATCGTTTAATCGGAATGCCCAGAGTTTTGGAGCTGGGATTCGTGAGTTTCCGGTAAATCAGGATTCTAGACGCGGGGGTTTAGGATTCTCATGTTCGGATGTGTGGGTTCTGTTCTTTCTCCTAGCTTTAGGAGAGGTATGCCCTTAATCCGAAGTCCTGTAGCTACAAGAATCCAGGTTACGCCCTTCTGCTGGGCGATTCAGAAAACAAGGGACCCAACACGGACGCTGACACGAAGCGAGTTGAATCACGAAGACCCCTAAACGAGAAGAAAGTCCTCAATGTCCGAACAACCCCAAACACAACTACATCACCCTCGCAAGACTCTCTTGTACGAACCCCCTAAACCCTGAAGCTGTCCATGCACTTTCGGTGCCCACAAGGGCGGCATTCCATCCGAAACTCGTCTGATTGGGTGAAGTGAGATCTCCTTGCAGGAATTTCCTTTGAAAGAGGCCAGAAAGTTGGAAGGTGGTGCTGATGGGAATCCAAACAATAGCCAGGCTTGATCCATGGTACAACACGGTATGCCCATTTTCATAGGGTACAATTGGTATTTTTAACCGAGGAGTTTGCCCCGTACATTTTTGTAATCTTGGTACAAAACGGCTGGGGTGCGGGCCGAAGGAGGGCTCAAAACCAGAAAGGGTGAAACCGCAGCTGGAGGAGAAGCAGATGAGTTTGGTTCTAGATGCTGCGCAGGCATGCCTTCGTCTGCGGCTTTGGTGTAGTTTTGGGTTGATGGTATCTCACATGGTTTAGGGTAGGGTCCATAACGCTCCCAAGACGGTCTGACGAGGTGGGGGTTTAGGGGTTAGTCGAGTTTTACGGTGGTTTCACACGCGCTTTATAGCGTTTTACAGGGCTTGATTTCGGCACGTGTACGCCGGGCTCCATTGAAACAATCAAGCAGTGTACGTGTATGGCATTATGGGGGTTATGAAAGCAAAGACAACTTCACATCCAGAGGCCCTGCGGACCTTTCCTTAGTGCGTTCTGGCCTTTACTTTGGAAAGAATCCTTGACCTTGTTTGTTGGGTGTTTCGTGCGCTGTTTCTTTGTTGAGTCGCCTGCATGGTCGACCGGAAGATCGGTCCATGCATGCTAAACCTGAAGGAACAGTTCAGGGTTTATCGCTTGACGTTTCAACTTGGGTTGATGGTGTTGCGCCACAGCTCTAACCAAAGGTCATCCGTTACGCACCATGGCAGCCCTAAGCCCGAGAGCCACAATTCAATGCATGCGGCAGCAGCCCTGTAAGCCCGCAGCCTGCGAAGCGAAACCCTAAGGTTTACTGTTTAGGGCCAAAACTCACCCATTGCTAGGACATGGAAGAGAAGCGGGCGCTCTGCTTCAAGGCACAGTTCGAATGTCGCAATCGAGTTCAGCCCTTTTTGCTTGGGTGTGGCGATCAGGATGCCGTCATGAAAATCGCCGCCCGCCGCCGAGAGTGCCACCTATGGGTTGGTTCTCTGAGGTTGTGGTTCATAGTAGATTCGGGGTTTCAGGCTTTAGGGCTTTGGGTTTAGGCTTGAAGGCTTCAGGATTGAGGGCCTGATCCGTGACTAGGGTAGTTCAGATTTATGCTGGATTTCCAGAAAATCGCCGAAATATGCGTCACCTTAAGAAAAGGGTTCAGGGTTTACAGTAGGGACTCTCATAGCTTTATACGGCTCACCCAAGCGTAGTTTGGCATGCACCACCATGCAGGGGAGGGCTCAGGATTGGGAATCGGGTTCGAGGCCCTGGAGTCGTAGATGTGCCGAGTTAGGGTTTAGGGTCGAGGCTTCTAGGTTTAAGATTTCGGGTTTAGGGGTCGAGGATGCTTCTGGAGCTCCTTCGTCGGTGAATACGAACCGAGACTTCACACAATAAGTTTCGGGTCAAGACGGCCTTCTAGACCCTAGACCCTAACATGGGGGAAGGGTTTAAGTTCTGTGCCAGCTCATCGTCAAGCGTTAGACACACTTCGTTTTGCACCGCAAGAGCATGCCAGTTTTGATTGAGTCGGTTTGGGGTTTAGGCGAAGCCAAGCTAAAACCCTGACATCATGTCAGCCATGAGAAAACTGGACTTCGTAAATATCCAGTGTGCTTCGCAGGTTTAATGATGTTGATACTGGGCCGCGTGGGTGTTAAGGCTTCTAGCTTGTGCAGGTTCGTTCTAATTTGAGTGAGTGTTCAGGGTTTAGGAAGCATGACACTCCTCCCTGACCCTCTTCTCAACCGTGCATCCGGCAAACCTCAACACCCTTCACTATGTTCTGTGCTGACCTTCCTTATGCCGTTTAGGGCTTTGGGTTTCGGGTGTTGGAACCTGCGACGCCCTAGACCGAAAACTCTACGCTCTATCCTGACCTCCGAAACCTTACTGACAGACCCTCAACCCTCACGCCAAAGCCCATGATCAACCATGACAAACCCCATGGCTTATTCGAACCCAGAAAGGTCTTCGACACTTCCTGGTTGCGAAACGTGCAGCCGCAATCCCAGTGCTTGCAGAGACATGGAGGATTCTTCCTGTTGTCCTGCATCGTCCCGGACTTTAGATCCAACAATAAAACTCGAATGCGGATTACAGACCTTCTCTTTAATCCCCAAAAGAGGCCCAGGCGGCTTGTTTGGGGCCTCGTGGTTTGGGGAGGATTCGGGTTTCCATATTTCGATATAAAGAACAGCGCCCACACTGTAGAGAGTGTAGGCTTCGTGGCTTTTGTTACGAAGTATAAATTCGAGAACAGGGCAATGTGAGATCATTCGACTGCAGCTGACCGCTACATGGTGAATCCTATCTCAGATCTTGCCATCGAGACTTCCGAAGTGCAGACGTGTAGACCACGAACAACAATCACAAGTACAGACCCTCCCCCAAAAGCACCTGACAGCCCGAAGCCCCAAAACTCTAAAGCCTTCGAAGCCAGGCTGAAGCCCCAAAGGCCACAACAGCCTGACTCCGAAACTGAAGCTGTTTGCATCCTGAAGTTCCTAAACCTCAATCGGTTTTAAACCTGAACCCGAAACCTCATCAGATTCCAAAACCCTAGCCCTAAGACGGCAAGCCGTTTCTCATCACCTGCAATCTAACCGCCACTAGATCCCAAATCCTAAACCCGCAACCTTGGTGGTTCCTACATAGATCCTAAGCCCCAAAAAGCCGTAGCCTCGGACCTGGGATCTTAGGTACGACATCGACTCCTGCGTCCAAGCCCTGGAAGAAAGTCCGGCTCCGAGCTGCAAGGAGAGTGTTTAGGGTTTGGGGTTCGGGGGTTAATCTAGGGGCCTAAATCCTTGCTAATACTATTTTGGGGGGTTCATTCTCAAAGGCCATAATCTAAGAGACCCCAAAACCTTCTTCTAATTAGTCAGGCCCCTATATCAGGGTTTGCAGGGTGTCGGATAGGGCTGTTGATTCAGGATTTTACGAGTTGATTCAGGACTTCAGGAGCTGATTGTGTTAGGCATTTAATGCTTTGGGGTGTTGAGTTTAAGGCCGAGCTGAGCATTGATAAATTGAGCACTTGAGAGGTGAAGGTTTGAGGCCGTTGCCGCTGCTAGACACTTCATGTTCGATTCGCTAGAAATGTCGCAATTCGGTACAAGGACTACAGACCGTTTCCCACAATTTACGCATGTACTGCCAGACTCTTCATCGCGAGTGTATGGGAAGTACGTGTCAAGAAGGATATAAAAGAATATGTATTTGGGTGTACAGTATAAAATTCTTGTACAGGCATTTCGAGGTTTGTAGCCAATCACTTTGCCTGTCTTGGCAAGTTTCTTTCCTCTCAGCTCGTCTATTCGGCTCGACCTTACAATCACAGTTGCGATGGGCATAGTTGGCTTATAAAGCGGACCAGCAGCTAGGCAGGGAAGGCATCTCGAAAATCTCTAAACTCGAAACCCTAAACCCTAGCATTCCAACCTCAAAACGCGGAAGGACAAGCGGTGTCAACAAATCCTTATATAACCCTAAACCATCCTACGGTGAACGACCAATAACCCTTCCCAGTGAGGCGATGGCGTGAAGGAACTCCAGGAGTTCATCCGCCGCAACCGGACGCAGGCAGTGTCCAGCGCGGGCTACTAGGCACCCTAACAATGCAGAGCTCTACGGTTCAGGGCTAGGGCTTGGGGGTTTTGGGTTTTGGGTACATAATTAGTAGGATTCTACCTTGATTAAATGATGTCAGGTTCACCTAGCCCAAACGTGTGGACCTTTAGTCTAGAGTCCAGAAGCCGGACACCCTCAACCCCGACTGCAGTTTCATCCCCTAAAGAAGCCTAGCGACATCCTCAGCGGACAGCTTCCTAATATGTCATCCCGGGTTGACCCAGTTCCCAACCACCCCGACCCCCAACAAATGAATTATGCATAGATGATAAACTACGCGGCGAACTCCATGAGCACAAAAAGGGGCCGAACCCCTCAACATTGTCATCGACTCATTCAGTACTCCAAACCCACCGACTCACTCAGTACTCCAAGCACTCGGCCATCTCTAAATCCTATGACAAGCCTTACTGGCCACAACCCCCTACGGCCTTAGAACATAAGCCCCAGCGGTACAAGTTAAGACATGAGTTTGATTAGTTTGGGCCTAACTTGAAGGCTCCTCAATCATTAGCCTGGAACTCTGCCTCAATAACACGGTTCTATCACCGAATTCCCTATCCAAGCCCCGGCCGAATCCCTAGCCCCTAAACTAGGCAAGACTAGGTAACCAACAAGTCACCATAACCCTTGAAGGATCCCGACACCCTGCGCCCTGACCCGACCCGGGCTCCGAAACCCAAAAAACTCAACCCCCAAAGCTTCGCGGCTTAGCATGCTTTTCCCGCGCTGGCTTTGGAGTAGGTCCCCATGCCTGCGAGCCGGGCTGCAAGGCGCGGATGGGAGCCTGCAAGAGAGGTTAGGAGGTTGAGGGTTTGTAGGGTTTAGGGAAATTGCAGTTCGGATCTTCGGTTTTATCCGGGCTTATGTGATTCAGGGTTCCAGGCCCAACCTTGAACTTGTGAGGTTCTTTCGGGTTAGTAGCGGTTTGAATCGTTTGCCCTTGAGCTCCTCGGGTAAACGTGGAAGCAAGGATATCTTTACAGCTTCGGGCTCGAGTAGATGCCCCAGATTTGTGGTGTATAGTCGGACTTTCTTAAGCCATGAATGCTTGCTCACATGCAGGGCTTTATTTGGGTTTTGGGTTCAGGTGTGTCCAGGTCTATTTTGTTGACCTTGTAAACCTGAACCTCGCCAAGCTCAGAAGCACACCATAGCGGAGCCATAAACGGCGGCCTCGTCGGGTCTTGGGGTACAGTAGATTATGCGGAGGCCTAAACCTAAACCCGGAGATTGGACCCCAAAATGCAGCATAAACCCCTTGTGAAGCTCTAAACGGTCAAGCCGGAAACTGTAAAGCCTTACAGGCAAAATGTGGAACCCCGTATTCATACCCCCCCAGGAAGGCCCCAAAAACAAAACCTGGAATTATTGGAACCCGTTAGAACACCCTAAAACCCTGAACCCCTCAAGCCCCAAACCTCAACCCGAATTCCATTTTTTCAGGCCCCACTGGGAGCTGGCTGGCCGTCGGGAACCGAAGGCTTTCCAGGAGCGGGAGCTGCAGCGGCAGAGACAGGAGGACCCACGGCTCTGCTTTCATTACCTTGAGCTGCCACGGCCTACTTTTTGTGGGATCCCCCGAAAGTCTGTATTAGCTGGCTGGCTCTTCCCGATTTAGCAAATGAGCTATGCTGTGTGTGTCTGTGTGTCTGTCTAGGGCGGTTACTACAGTCCTTAAGCCTAACCCCCCAAAAGCCCTAGACCCTGAAGTCCTAAG